GTGGCACAGAGTTCCCCACGTTGTATGGATATGATAGTAAAACACGACGTACGGATAGGGTTAATGGTGGCACAGAGTTCCCCACGTTGTATGGATATGATAGTAAAACACGATGTACGGATAGGGTTAATGGTGGCACAGAGTTCCCCACGTTGTATGGATATGATAGTAAAACACGACGTACGGATAGGGTTAATGGTGGCACAGAGTTCCCCACGTTGTATGGATATGATAGTAAAACACGACGTACGGATAGGGTTAAGTCTTTTCTAAGCTAGACAAGGTGTATTTTGCAGGAGACACAACAACAAAACATTTTTAATTTATGAAACAACATTCCTTCAGTCTTTTCTTAATTAGACAATGTGTTTTTTAAAGGAGAAACACACACACACACACACACACACACACACACCCACACACATACACAAAATTTGAAAAAGGTGGATGAAACTATATTCCTTTAGCCTTTTTTTCCAAAGACAACGTGTATTTTACAGAAGAAACCCAAAAAAAAAGACCACAAAAAACCCAACCAAAAACCCCTACCCCAAAAAGTTCCTTCAGTCTTTTTTTATCAAGTCAAGTGGTGCAGAAGTAAACAGCTACAATTACCAGCTTGTTTGTTTGTTTGTTTGTTTGTCTGTTTGTTTGTTTGAGTAAAGAGAAGCACAATAATCGCCATACTGTGCAGAGAAGAAACAACAGAGTTAGACAAAAGCAACAGACTTTCTACCCCCACCCCCCTCAATCCCTTTGTCCCCTCCTCTGGGCTCCTGACTCTTTCTGCAGCCTTTCTACTGCTACTCCTTGGCTCCTTCTTACTGCTGTCTTTCAGCCACACCCCTGATCTTCTGGTAGGAAAGATCTACACCTAGCCTTCTCGGACAAGGGCGAAAAATCTTGGAGGTCTCGTGTGCAAGTCATGCACGTTAAAGATCCCTTGGTGGTCTAAAATCGATAAGAGTAGGCTTCAGCAGGCACCCGGACAAAATTCCAAATTTCCTACCAACTGAAAATATTTAATGGCACTCATATGACCTTATGCAGTTGCGAGCTCTGTAAACCACTTACAGAAAAAAAAGATGCAACAGAGGGTAAGAAGAGAAGGAGGACCTACTAGTGGCACCCTCCAGCCAACCCACCCACCCTCTGCACTACCCCCACCAGAAACGTAAGGACATCCTGTGCTATACAAATAGTTTATATTATTTTTATTTTTTTTAGTATAGTAGAGGGTTTTACGGCGCTCGCAACTGCATAAGGTCATATGAGCACCAAGGGGTGGGTGTCAACATAGAAGTCTTTACAGGGAATCAGACTTACTCTGCTCACCTCTCTAGCTTCAACAGCACAAGGTCTGCTTCGACTATCAAGGCTCCCCGGAAATAGCAGGTCACAAGAAGAATGTGACAAACATACAAAAGAAGTAGAGGAAAATGACAATAGTAAGGATTAGGAAAGAAAAAGCAGCAGTTCCCTGTTGTAGATCAGGCAGTTATGAGCGTGACATGAGTCTACCGTAGATCTGGCACAGTTATGAGCGTGACATGAGGCAGCCCATTCACAATTCTACTATGCTTGAACGAGAAATTAAAGACACTACAGTCAGTGACACTGCCCCCGCGGGGGGACATCTATAGTCTTTTGTTTTCCAAAGTTCAAACTTATTGTGACTGATGTCGGGGACAAGTTGAGCAGTAAACCCATTCCTTTAAGTCTAACCTTTATAACGTCTACTGCCATTGTTAACAACCAATACAAATTTCTCCCTGCGAGATAAATAAAGATTGTCATTGTCATTGTCATTGTCATTGTCATTGGCGGGTGCTTTAGTGTGGTTAGCTTCTTCATTCCTTTCAAATATCTATGGTCCCTGATCTCTCCTCCTTCTTTTTTGTGTTTGTTACTCTCTTGTAACACATCTAATCTTCGGCACTTATATGACTTAATTTGTGTTGCAAACGCCGTAAAACTTCTACTAAAACTAAAACTTATTCCAGCTCTTCCCAAACTGCTTCGTGGATTGTGAAAATTATAATTTTTTAAAGAATTTTTTAAACAACGTTTTTGACGTATTTGAAATATTATTGTACGCAACAAGATAGTTCGATTTGTTTGT